AGAATGTCAGCTCAGTTGATTTAAAGCAACTTGCATCAATAATAGAACAATAATAATAAAGCAAAACAACAAGAAAAAGGAAACCCCTTGCAGTTTGACTGCTGTCAGCACCTGAGGTGTCTGCAGTTATTAACTCTATGAAGTTAAGGGTGGATCAAGTTCTAAGGCAATAGGAGTTCTTAGTAGAGAGATAAGGCAGAAAAAGACTGGGAGTTGAAATATTGAAAAATTTTAAGGTGAGAACTAAGAGTACAGTTCTGTAAATGGTCCAGTAATAACAAAATTCACCTCTTACCTAAGCTAAGTCAGGAAGAATTAAAAAAACAATTGGATTGACAAAATGACTTTGGGTTATTACAGTAATGCAAGATGTTTACCTCTGCTGACCTCTGAGCTAGGCTGTTTGTCTGACGGTAGGAGTTGTTTGTACAAAATCTTGAATTTCCACTTTCTGTATGAAATTAAATATAAATTTCCATAGGATGAGAAGGATAAAATATGGAAAGAAAGATCAGAATGCACAACTCTGAAAAAAGTTCAATTAGATTATCAAAAATGAAAATGTCAAGATGCTGTATGTAGGAAAAAGACAAGATAATCCAGAGGGAAATGAGCAGTCTGCAAACTTAACACCATCTAGATAAAACTGTTCCCTTTTATTTAAACACTTTGATATGAAAATATTAGTTTAGTGCTCTGTTGCCTTAGCTGCTTTTTTGTTCAAAATAATGCATCTCTTCTGGCTTTAAAACATATCTTTACAGATCTGATTTTCTTTTTTCCTTTGAAACCATTTCTTGCCTTGTTTCTACTAGTCAGTAGGGAGTAAGTGGTGAAAGCAACAAAGGCAAGTTAATGGAGTAGCCAGTATTAAGTATGTTCCAGTGTTTAGAAGGACACTTGTCTTCCTCGAGATACTGTACAGCAGGTGCTACTGTGCCATATGCAGCTTGTCATAAACATGCAAATCATTTATTTAGCGATCTTTGTTTAAAGAATGGTTGTTACCCCATACAAAATAAAATCCTGCCAAAGTCTTCATCTTCATTTGTCATTAAAAATGTTGTTCCCCGCCATTAGCTTTTATTGGAGTAGTGAAAGTTTTTAATAATTGGGTTGGCCAAAAAGTAACCACACTTTTTAATAACATGGACATATGTCTTGAAATGTAACTAATTTAATTTTAAACACAAATTATGTAACTTGACAGCTGACAGCTCAAGCTTGTTTTAGGAAAAGAAAGTGCATGATTTAATTCATAATTATTTATTGGCATTGATTTCAAAATAAAAAGATCAAAGGAACATTTTTGTAATATTTTGCTCTATTCCTTCCAAAAAGGAAAAAACACTGTAGAAGCTCAAAGATGTGGTGTGTATGAGGAGGATGCCTTAAAACTGTGGCAGTGTCAGAATTGGTTTGCTAAATTTTGATCCAGAGATTGTGATGTTAAAGATGCACCACGCTCAGGACGGCAAATCCAACTTGATAATGACAAAATAAAGGCCCTGATCAAATCCAGTCAGTGCTTAACAACAGATTGCTGATGGTCTTAATATATTGAAATTGAGTGTTGCAAACCATTTAAGATAACTTGGGTACGTTAGGAAGCTTGATATTTGGATACTACAGGAGCTTAAAGACAGTCATCTCACTAAGCTTGTTGAAATCTGTGATTCTCTTGAAACATGAGGAAAATGATCCATTTTTGAAATGTGTAGTAACAGGCATGGATTGTCTACATCAACATCTGTCTTACATTTCATAAAAATGGATCGTCTACAACAACGATAAATGACAAAGATCATGGAGCAAGCATGGTGAACCATCTCAAAGCACTTCAAAAGCAGATCTTCACCAAAGGAAGGTCATACTGTCAGTCTGGTGGGATTTCACAGGTATTGTGTACTTTGTGTTGCTTCCAAGGAACTAAAACATTAATTCAGATGTGTACTGTCATCAGCTGGATAAATTAAATGATGCCATCAAACAGAGGTGTCCAGAATTGGTGAATTGGAGAGATGCTTGTTTCTCCATGATAACACTAGACCACGTACAAGTTTGGTCACTTGTCAAAAACTGTTGCAGCTTGGATGGGATGTGTTACCACATCCACCATATTCACCAGAACTGGCACTATCAGACTGCCACTTGTTTTGTTCCTTACAAAATGTCTTGAATGGTAAAACCGTCACTGCTGATGAGGATATCAAATTGTCCTAGGAACTGTTTTTTGCCGAACGAGAAGAAATTTTTTTCAGTGTGGAATCGTGAAGTTGCCTCAAAGATGGCAAAAGGTAACTGAACAAAATGGACATTATCCTGTATAATACAATTTTTGATTCCCATGAAAAATTTGCCTTTGTTTTACCCAGAAAAACCCTGCAATTACTTTTTCACCCAATCCAATAAAATAGATTGGGCGGGCAGCAGTGGTAGGAAAAGCACCAGTTCAATACAATCAGAAGCACAATTTTCCTGGTATTTTTTTCCGTTCATACTGCGAACACTTTACTGATGTGTGACTGTACCAACAAAGTCTTTCAGATGTAAACGTGACCTTGTGGCTCTATCAATTTGTTTATATGTAGATTAAGCTGAAAAGGAACTGGGATGAGGGAGGAGGAGGAAGGAGAAAGTCATGTCTTTGTGAATCTAGCTGTAGGATTAAGTTCTTTAATCTTTCCCTTAGAGCTCCCTAAAACTGGCAGAGGTCTGAATAAAAGTGATACCCAGCCTTACTCTGGCTGTATCACAGAGCCAACCTATGAGTCTGCGTGTTCTCTTCTGCTCTGATGGTGCTGCAACACGGTGAACTGAGATGCTTCTCTCTGTGGAAGTTCACCTGCTGACTGGAAGGAGTTCAGCACTGGTCTGCAGGAGCAGGGATAACACTGTGCTCTTTTACACTGACCTGCTGGTGAGATGAGGTCCTGAATAAGAGGCTATGAGGGCTCTGGTACTTATTATATCCTTGTGTTGGTGACTATTTGTGATTTCTGTAACTACAGGCGAATCAGTTGCATCAATTAGAGTACCATTGCCTCTTAGAGCACTTAATATCATTAAATGCTAAGGATGGCATAACTCAGATTCCTAGTGGCAGTCTTACCCCCTTATTCCCCCCAGTAAATTCCACCTTTTATCTGTGCTAGGCAGTGATTAATGTGCCTTGTTTTCCCCTGGATCCTACTGAGTGTGACCTGCTGAGTGCGGTTCTCTGCCATACTTGCCTGTTGGCAGAGCAGCCTGGGTGAATAGCCCCCAGTGTGTTCTTGCTGATCTGAGCCTAGCAGAAAAATCACTTGGAATAAAAAGGCTGTTCCCTAGTCCTGTGAGCAGACCAAGAAGTATCTGAGGGGGTGGAAAGGTGAGGTGGGTAGCAGGAGCAAGGCAGGGATGAGGAGCTTGGCCAGATGAGGAATGGTAACTGGTTTCCTGGAAGAATTTAAGTTCCTGTTACATTTCTAGTGCAAACATTTTTTCTCTGGACAAAAAATGAAAGTCTGATGTCAGATGTGCAAAGTATTTGTCAGTAAAGCTTTTGATACAAGGTATTTTAAAACAATTTTTTCCCTATTAAAATGTAAAAACCAAACAAACCAACCTAAAAAGCAAAACCAAAAATATATTGGATGTTTCTGGGAAAACAGTGATGCCACTACTTGTGATGAATGAAACTGTGTGAGTAAACTTTTCTGGATCTGAACTGGTAAATGTGAAACTGCTTGAAACAAGTGTCTCCTTAGGTGTTAGTACATTTGTACAGTGCTAGTTGTGGTGGATTTCTTGGTTGTGAACAAACTTTGGATACTATTGGGGAGTTCAGGTTTGTCATTGTGGCAGAGTTTGAGACTTGTTCCAATATGGCCAATTCAGATGTCAGAATTTCAAGTGGTGAAATGACTTGTAAACAAGCTACTGTATACAGAATTGGTGTGGAGATTCACAACACCAGAGGAAGGGCCACTGTTTGAATCTCTCACAAGAGATTTCTGCTAGAGGTGAAAAGAAAGCTGCCTCTTGCATACAGAAAATGAACTGAACTGAAACACCTGGAATTTTGAGTGTTAAGTCAGATCTAATTGTTACTGGAGTAAACAAGTGCAAATTGTTTGCAGCAATGAAAAGAACTCCCCTGTTGGGCAGGAAGTTGCATTTACTCTTGCTTGTTACTCTGAAGGAAAGATTTTATATTCCTGGTGACTATGAAGATTAAACCAGAGATTTATGTTAATGCAAAGGATTAAAAGAATCTTAATAACATTTATAAAGATGCAAATGTTCGCCTGCATTTTATCTTTTTGCAGATGAACGTGCCATAAGGGACATATTGAAGAGGGAGAACATGTCCTAACTCTGAATTGCAACGTCTGGTTTAATACTGCTCTCCCATGGTCATTAAGCATCAGTTGTTTTCACCAGTGTGTTTTTGAACAGTGTAAGTGCGGTGAACTTTTCTTTCTAACTAACTTAGGAATGTCAGGAAAGAACAATGTCTGACTTCAAATACATGGTGCCTATTTAGTGTATGTTTTCATGTGTTGCAGATTTTGACAAGCTGTAAATATTACTGTGTATTTTTTTCTTCTTGCTACTCTGTTATGTTCAGACTTATCTCCTAAATAGTAAAGAGCTTGAAACACTGGCTCCACTGTAGAATTGTCAGCTGTGGTTCCTCGGTCTCAAACTGTCCTCCCAATGCAAACACAGGCCACACGAGCAAGGAAAACTATGTGCTTTATTTGGGAGCCCTGACATATAATATTATAGGTATATGTACATAATTTCATATGGAGAAATTATAGAAAAAATATGATTTGAAAAAGGAGGCAATTAAGGTGAAGGTGTAAACATCACTAGCCATTTATGTTCTGTTTTGGGTTTTTTCCTGCTCTTCAACCAATTGTTTACTAACAGACAAGTATTTATAACTGAAACCACCTGTATTTGTTACACAGTTCAACTGATACAACTGTGGAAATGTCCCAGCTCTCAAATCAATATAAATCTTCAAAAGGTTTTGAGTAGTTAAACATCAAATAATCCATATAGTAGAAGTCATAGCTTCGTTGTCGCTGAGAAGGAGAAAGCTCTGCAAAATACTGTTGTGTAATTTTAGTGGTAGTTCTTTCTTCATTGGAGTGCCTGTCTTTAAACTTGGGGAAAGTTAAATTTTGTGGAGCACCAATTAAATGCAAGAAAAAGTTTGCATCTTCTTCCATACTTTCAAATTTCCCAACAAAATCGTAGTCTATTAAACACGGGCTGCAAAGCCTATTGACATGATCCCAGTGGATGTCCATACCCACTGGCCTATGTACGTCCAGAAGATATTGAATGAACTCTTTGAATTTGACTCCAGAGCCTGTCCTTAATGCTTCTTTGGTGGCATTGACACGGTATCTGGAAATGATGGCTTTTCCAAAAACCGGGTGGTAGTAATTGTTTGGATGTTCAAACTTGTCCCGAAATGCAGATACCAGCTTTTCAAAAGGTTCACGAATGAAAAGCATCTTTGTGTAAGTGTTGAGCCTGTGATAAATTCCTTTATGATCAAATCCATCCAGTCTTTTTAAATAGTTTCCGTAGTGCACCGTGTTGTGCTGTATGTCTTTTGTGGAAGAAGCCAGCCCGTTAAGAACCATGAGCACACGTTTCCAGTTAGAGCAGCCAGCTTTTGGTACTTCACAGTATAAAACCCTATATTTATCCTCTACAAATATCCTAGAAACATGATAAGGAGTGATTATTCTTCTATTATTACTCTTGTATTTAGAACAAGTTTCCCTCATTATCCGCTTTCTTTCTTTTTGGATCAGATAGAGACTCTGCCACTTGTTGTTGTTTCTGTACTCAGCTTTAAGTGTGGGCAGGTTAAGAGTGGAGCTGTTCATGGAAATCAGAAATGGGCTTTTCTTAATTATAAATCTCCTCCGTCGTTTATGGAGCCTGATGGAATTAATTTCTTCACCTTTCTGTTGATCCTTCATTGCAAACATTATGCTGCTTTGCCTTCTGTCTGTGCTTTGAGGCTTAGTGGGCCCATTTTCAGAGAGGTGTGATGAATTGCTTTGCTTTACTGTTGCTACTCCGTCTGCAGTATTTTTGCTTGACCTTCTATCCTGGTTATTGCTGGAAACACAGTCCTGATTGTGGAAAAAAAGATGAAAGAAGTTAGTAAATGAGGGTGTTTATCATTATTAACAGGTTGTACAACTAAAGGTGGATCTATTAATGCACTGAGTCCAGCAGAATTGTACGCCAAAATACATTACTGCAAGTCCTCAGCACTGTACCCGCGTTGTGGTGATGGCTTTTCTCTTCTCTTCTTGTTCTGTGCTTACATGAAATTCAAGGGCTGAGTTGAGCCTGAACTGGTAAATTCCAGTTGATATTTGGATTTAACTGTATTTTGCATGGTGCCCATACCCAGACTTTGATAAACACTTTTGTGTTAAGTATGTTACCTTTTGTGGAAATTTTGAAAACACCTGAGTATTCTGAGGACTGATGTAGTTATTTCAGACTGCCTGTTTTCACGCAAATCTCTTTGTATCTGGCCCCCGCCCCGCTCTCTCAGCAGCTTACCTTTGCAGTGAGCACAGTTGTGCACAGAGTGAAGCCTGGCAGCGAAAGGAGGTTTATGGTGCTAAGTGGAATGAGAATGGAGAGGGAAGCAGAAAGGGCTGCAGGGAGAACACAGAGGCTCTGCAGAGGAAGTGGGTTTGGCGAGAGCAGCATGAATAGGGACCCCAAAGGGAGCTTGAGTGAGGTGAGCATGAGATCAAAGCAATTGGGATTTGATAGGAAGCAGTAATGGGAATGTGGCTGGGATAAGGCAAGTGAAAACAGAAGAAAGAAAGCAGGTTTATGGATAAGGAGTTTTTGCAACCTGCTCCCTTTCATTAGGGGGATGACACTAGTTAATACTTTCGGCATATAGCCCAGATGTGCTCCCTTGCTTCCTGCTTCTCAAAGCAGCTGAATTAAATCCCTGTCTACATGTCTGTGCCTCTAAGACTAAACTCAGGTCCTGGACGTTGTTTAGCGACATGTCATCCCTGTTTTGAGAACTCACCTGGGAGCCGAGTGGCAAAGAGCCACTAGGGAGTATTTCAACAGGGGAAGCAGATGTAGTTGCAGAATGTTTATTGTTTACCTAAAATACTTAATGTTTATTTAGAGGTTTGATAAATAGTAAAATTCTGATTTTTTTTTTTTGGTCTTTATTTGGTCCCTAGTAGTATTTAAAACTGGCTTCAAAAGTAAGATACTGGACTAATTTTAAGGTGCAGAGAATAGGGATTAGTAGGGTCATGCTCTTTTGTGGTGGCAGATTAAATCTTAATTCTAATAGTGATTTTGCAAGCCTCTCTGTGTTTGGCTGAAAATAAGAAATGCTGTAGGTAACTTAAACTTGTGCTGTCATGGAGACTATATCTTGTCACATCCTTCTTTAAGGGTGAGATATGAAAAGAGAGACTTAATATTCATTACAAAAAGCACTGGTGACGAAGAAAAAAAAGAAGCAAGTTGTATTACTTTGTAGGTCACTTCCTTAAATTGATAACTTACACAGAACCTAAACAGAACAGATCAGTATTAAACACAGTTTTTACAATGCTATGCAAGTTGTTGCAGAACTTAGGTTTCTAAACTGTTTTGTTGGCTGTTCTGGTAGTGGAGGTGGTATGTGACGTGCAGGCTGGGAAACCAGCTGATAGTTTGTCGTACAAGACAACATTTGACATATTCGGTTGTTGTGAGTGATTGGTGTAGTCTGCTCTTCTCTTCAGAGGCTGTTTCTGGTAGTCAAAGGTGTATCAGAGTGTGTGTGTGTAAAATACCAGATGTATTTCTAAATATTACCCTTTAGTTCTATTACATTTTATTTCTAAATATTACCCTTTCTAAATATTACCATTTAGTGGCTGAAATTCAATCTTGTTTACTGGTGACGTGGCTGATATTTCAAGGTTATCAAATTCAGACTTCCTAGATTTTCAGTTTTGATGACGATGAACCTGCAGTTTTTGGGAAACTCAAATGCCATGATTTGAATGCCTTCTGTCAGTGTAACCCTGAAGGTTACCCAGAAGATCAAGTTGGAGCTGTAGAGATGGAGTGATGCCAGTCACATCATGCTGACTTCACCAGGCAGTGGTGTTTGGGTAGCAGCCGGCAGCTGCACGGTTGTTCCTTTGCAGACTTTATACTTCTCTTTTAACCATGAAATAGTGAATGGCTGTGGTGGGCTGTCACTGCTGTGCGTGTGCTAACAGCCACTAGATGGAGGAATTTCACCAGTATTTTCTTTAGCCTATTTTTAGGTACCTCTGAAGACATTAATTTGATCAGTACGATTTAATACAGAATATTAATATAAGAAAAGTTTACTGTATCTTTTAGCAATATCCAGTCTGAGAAAAACCTCATATAACTGAAGTTGCACAGCTTATCAAACTCATATTTTAAAAGGAGAATTTGCACTTCATGAAAAAGCTTTGATGCATCTTTCCTTTTCAATGCTTCATCTCCAGTCTAGTGGCCTTATCTGAGCCATCTCTAGCCCTACTCCATACTCAGAATATGGGTATAACTTTCCTTATGTACTTCTCAAAACTTACTTTTTTTGGTTGCTGGAATCCCATGTTATATTTTATCCCTAAACAAAGAAAGAAATTAAAGTCATTATTTAGTAAAAATAAAACCATTTAGTTTCACTTTTGCTGGACAGATAACAGTGTGTCCTGTCAGTAACTAAAAGGAAAACAGGAACAAGTTCTGTTAATATAATGATAAATAGACCAATGATGAATCATAATTACTGTATATTTCATAGCAACAATACTTGTTGGAACCCCTCTTTATTTATAGATGTCCTAACAATTGTGAAATGGAATGACTGTCTCTACCTCCCTTTTACAGATGGGGAAACTGAGATGGAGAAAGGTGACTGCTTAACCTCAGCTAAAAGGCCAGTAGAAGAACAAGAAGCAGCTGAAATTCATGATCCCAGGCTAGAGCTCTACAAAAAAGTCTGTTCCTTGTGTACTTACCTAAAGCTGTGTGGTTATGTTCCCCTCCCCCCTACTTAATCATAGTAATAGCTTGCATTTGCTGTAAAACCAAAGCAACACACAGTTGAATTATATATAAGTGAGAGAATGTTTGTAGAGTTTTGGAGAGACAAAACAATACAGAATTGAGTTTTTTCAAATCTTCTGGTTTCTACAGTGATCTCTACCTGAAAATACAATAATAAAGATGTTAAAATCCTAGAAGGCAACTTGTGTTGTATTTCTTTACTGTTCCTAACCTCTGCTAAGTATAAGTTAATAATACAAGAATACATAATGGAAAACACTTCTTAATTATGAAATTTAGTTTGCGACTTTTTAACTTATAAAACTGCTATCATCACTGTCATTGTTGCTTGAGAACTTCAGCAGTTTGAAGAGTTGAGTGTAATAAGTCTGCACTGTGAATCCACAGCCTTCCTGACAAGGACAATTACAGGTAAAGGTATTGCAAAGCGTTGTAATGAAAGCATCACTGGAATAGCTTAGTCTCATCAGGTTATTTTTCATGGTACTACAAAAGCTCTCAAAAACAGTGTGTGTGCGTAGTTAACATTGTACGTTATTGTAGTTAAAGTAGCAGGTCTGACTTACATGATCAATCATGATCAGATCTACAAACTGGTGTTTATAGTAGAGTCTGAGTAAAATTGCCGTGGTTAGTTCTGTGCTGTTAGAGCTCATTTAGAAGTGCTCATTACTCTTTTGGCTCATGTTTGAGCTTTAATTCCACTACAGCAATTTGTTAGCAATAAACCCAAGTTAAGGTGGATGGGGTTATTGTGATTCTGTGGCTATTAAAAGCAAAGGGCATATTATTTTTATCTCATCAGAAATAAGTTCCAGACATCTTAAAGGAGCCTTAAGCCTTTTCCTAGCTGCTTCTCAAAAATGTTTAAGCGCAAAATAAAGTTAGAATTCTGTTTCATTCTAAAGAGAGAGCTGATCTGTAGCATACTTGTGTGGGTTCTGGAGGATTAAAACAGATTCTGTTGCACCAGGCTTTAGGAGATGTTATTGAGCTGTTGTCCAGTTGTGCTATGATCAGTTAAGAACTTCATTTATTCTACTGCTGTGTAATATATTACAGAGCGATGAAGGTATGGAAACTACTGTCCAAAAAGAAAAGTAAAAACTAAGCACTAGCACTTTGAAAGAATTGAAACTAGAGCATAGGTGTTGTGTTTAAACCATGAAATTGTTCTGTTTGTCAGCAGATGTGACCTCTTCTAAACCTAACGACATAACTTAAAGCCACTTGAGCCAGACTTCCGTTGGCTGCTTGGCCTGTGCTGTAAGGTATCATTAATATAGCTAGTTGGAATAGTTGTTTAACTTTGACTTTAACTGTTCTTGTAGTAGAGCTTGAAATTAAATATTATTTTCCTCATAAATTCAGAATATTGTTATGCTGATTCTTCTTTCACAGGCAGAAATCATCAGTACAGTTTTGAAAAGTGAACATGGTTAAGAAATTTAATCTGGTGTTGTGGCTTGGTCAGTTCTACTCATTTGCTATTTTGGTTTCTTGTGTATATGTAACATGATTTTCTTAGTAATTCTCATAATAACATTATTACAGGCAATAGTCACCATTCTGTTCAGTACCATTTTATTCCTCTCGAGTATATAATTTTTGGTCTTTCTTTTAAACTGGATTGAGTAGTGTTAAGTCATGCCTCGTCTTCTGTCACAGATCGTGGAGATTTACTTTGGCTTTCAATACTGTCAACATGCATAGGTGAAAATTAACACATTTAAATATTTCTCCTACTGTGTGCTAGTTATGCCTACCAGTGTAAGGTAGGAGAATGGCTGTGCAACCCTTCCCAAAAGATCAAGTCGCATAATGTCTACAAATCTACTCCCTTTCTGAAAGCATTTTGAGCTTTTCACAATTGAAAATGTAAATGAGGAAAGGCTTGGTGACCTCTTGGAAAGCTGAGCAAATATTCTGGACAGAATCAGATGCAAATATTGGAGCATCTGCTGTTTCCAAATTTTAATGTAAATGTTAGGGTTAGTTTTTTTTTCCCAGGTTTGTTTAGTTGTGGTCGTTTGTCCTGACTTCAGTGGGGGCAGTGATAGCTTGCAACAAAACCACACACTTTGTGTATTTACCTGTTAAAGTTGGTATGTATTTGACATGAATAATAACTATTAAAAAACATCAACCCCAAACACTGAAGTGCAAAGAGCAGGTATGAGACTTATCTTTTTTTTTGTGGTTAATTATGTTTTTGTAATGGTGTTTCATGAAGGTAACTTATTTGAGAGATTAATACATTGCACTGATATGCTGTGCTATAAAAAAACTAAAAATAAATGCTAGTAGGAGATGTTTAAAAAGAGATTCTTCATTTGCTGGTTTTAAGATGTAATCAGAACAACAATTCATGTTTAATGTAAATGTTTGGTGAAGCACTTGCCAATCTCTCCAATGTTTTCTGAATTTGTGACTTCTAAAGTTGGCTTCTTTTAGCTGTCTTCTGCATGATGCAGTCTGTCACTTCAGACTAAGGCTACATGGAGAAAAAAAAAATGTCTTAAGTGCAGTGAACTCAGGGAAGTTTTACTACATGGATCTACTATATGAATCAAAATCTAAATGTGATGTTATTGCCAAAACAGCTTTTTTTTCCCATAAATAAACCATTGGTGTCTGCTGCACCCAGGTGATGTTAGTGATCATTAAATGTTTGGTGCCAGACACGATGACAACCAGCATCTCACTAGTGCTCAGAGAATAGTTGAGCGACAGAATTGTTCTATCAATTGTACATCTTTTATGTCTGTTTTCATGGTGTTCTGTTCTTTTTTTTCTTCCCCTCATGCAACCGTGATTTTCCAGACCTGAGCTTGGCCTGTGTTTTATGTCTGATTTTGTATTTCATGAAATACGAGCCTTATGCTTCATCCAGTCCTACTCTATAGTCAAATCTATTGTGAGTTTTTTTTAAGTGCTACTGGCAACACAATAAAATGGCCTTCATCTTCCCTGTGTAATATTATATAGCTTTGCCTCTCTGCATTCTCTTCTATCTCTGCTTCAAGACCTAATTTTGGTTTGCCTCTGGTGTTTTCCTCTGTTCTGAGACTACACTACGATTGAAATATTTTTTAATAAAAATAATAACTCCAAGTCTGTATCTGTGACTCCATCCCCTAATGGGCTTCTGCGAGCAGTGTGTACTTGTTTGCTTCATCTGAGCTGATTTGTGAAATATACTTTGGAAGGGCCATTACTGTCATTGCATGAACATCTGTGTCGTGTCCTATCTGCGTGTGCTCCAGTCTTAGATCTTTACTCAAAGACAGCAATTAATTGCAGAATGAGTAGTGGACTAGTACCCAGAATTCTAATCAGCATGAGAAGTTTTTAGTTTGAAAGGATTTTCTCTAAAATATTTGTCAGATCATCTTATTCCAGTTTTTTGGTAATTTAAAATGAACTCTTAACTGCACTTCTTTAAGGAGTAATTGAATTCAAATATGTAAACCATTAGGCACCAGAGTAAGTTAGGATTGGAAACGAGCTGTTCTTTTATACTGTAGAAGTTATTTTCAAGATTGATACAACTGTAAATTACTTGTTTTTACGTGTGTGTGTGTGTGTATATATGTATAAATAAAACTTATGTATATATAAAAATATGTATGTAGTATTTGTATTTGGAAGATTTTAAAAATATATAAATTTATTGTTAGAAAATGCTTTTATTTTTAAATTAGACCCTAATTAATAGAAAAACTGTGTGTTCATATCTGTTTTAATTGTTTGCTCTGCATATATCCTTTTTATATCTAAAATATATAGTTTATTTGATTAGGGAAAACTCCCTCAAAAGCCCCCATGTAAGCTACATACGTTGTACCTCATTGTAATACAGTTGAAATGAATGAGGTAAAGAACCTTAGCAGAGCTGCAGCACATCTTAAATTGTACATCAAAGAAGCAAAGCTATATGTTGAATGTGTATAATCAAACCTCTTTGAGTGCCCAGTGAAGCTGCAAGTAGCCAGTGTCATTTCCCACAGATGAGTAAACTTCTACAGTGTATGCTTTGGTTAAATGAGACATAGCTGAGCCCTTGTCAAAGTGAAACACATAGTGACAGGACACACATCCTTGTGTTCTAGAGACTTGCAAAGTCATGTGTTTCTGAGACGCAGTGTCTGGTTTCACATCTGTTTAATGCTAATTGTTGCAATGGTAAAGATAATACAAACAATTTGACTGTGTTCCCTATGAATGACAGGGTGCGCACAGGAAAACCCTGAGCCTCCTGCAATTTGTCTGAGGAACCTGGCTGTCACTCTTGCAATGAATGCAGTCAAAGAGTCTCCATAGCACCTCATTTTTAAGCCCTCTTTGTATTTGGTGGCAGAATAATTACATGACAAGAATTTTATTTATATAAAATTGTAAGGGTGATTTTTTGGGAAACTCTTTGTAATGCAGCTTTTCTGGAAAAAATTAGATGTTCCTGTAAATATTCTGATATCCTTTGCTACAGTATGTACAATGCAATTATTTTTTTAACTTTACGTGGCAAAGCATAGTATGTTATTTGTAACTATTCCA